ATAACAAGAATCAGGTTTTCATTGCACGTCTTGTTTCCTTATTTTCATACAATCATTGTCATTACTATAATTATCATTTTTATGTTTATCATTAATCATTGTTATTATTACCATTAGCATCATCATAAAAATACCATTTCATTATTTTTCCTGTCATAAATTTTATCTAATGCGTAGACCAACGGACGCAATCATTCGCTTGTAAAGTACGTGTCTATTTACCAATAAATGTTCATACTAGTCCTAATAAACAGAGATTGTAATTTAAGCAAATTGACCAAAGATACGAAGAGCCACGGTAGGTCACTTAAGCCTATAGTTTTGTATGTGTAATTACGAACACGTTTACTTTCTTTACGATATACCTAACGTGAATTTATACTTCGACCATAGGACTCAAAATTGTACTTTTTACTATACATTATACCGTTTATATTTCACTTAAGTTATTATTTCTTTGACTGAAGACTTAAAGTATATCTATATCTATCTTTTTCTTTTTCTCTATATATTTATGAAAAAGGCAAGAATTAAACGTAAGAACATAAGAAATTACGCAAGTAAATAACGTGAAGCAAAGAAATGTTTATATTAATATGGACCTTATGAATCTCCATCAAAGACTTTACATTAGTTCTTTTCTTTCTTGGTAGTGGGTATAGTCTACTAAATGCCATCGTTCTCACAACTTTAGATAATTCAATATCGTTAATCTCCTTCAGTGCAGGATATAAATTTCTGTTTCGTTGTAACATTCATGGAAATTTTGAAAGGAACATTTGTCATCTCTCTCTCTCCTTTTTCATTTCTCTCTACTGTTATTGTTCTTAAAAGATTATAGTTATAAAAGTAGAGATGTGCAAAAAGAAGAGAGACAGATTGTGTTTTGCCATTCATATGTATCTGCGTATGCGTTGCATAAAGTATAACCAGGATTTTCTACGAGAGAAAGAGAGAGAGAGAGAGAGAGAGAGAGAGAGAGAGAGAGAAGAGAGAGAGAGAGAGAGAGAGAGAGAGAGAGAGAGAGAGAGAGAGAGAGAGAGGAGGGGGAAGAGAACATTCTTTTGTTCTCAGTCAGAACTGTTTATGACTAACCCTTATCGAGCTTATTGAATTTGTATTGCTTATCATATCTTGCCAATAGCCAAGATTAGACTTTTAAATCAAAATCAAACGTTGCCATTGTATAAGCTATAAAATGAAGAACATCATGTGGATAAGTAGAAAGTGACATGGTGATTGACTGGTAGATAGCTAGATATATAAACGGGGATAGGCAGATAGATACTTATACAGAGATAAAACGAAGAGAGAAATTTCTTTGTCAAATATCACGATCTAGTCGAATCTCATCTTGATGTTATCTGATCTATTTTCTTACCTGTTTATCAATTTATTTTACAAGATAAATTATAAAGTTTTCTTGAGATAATGGTTAAAGAGGAAATAAGAAAATAAAATCAAACGCAGTACGAGAAAAAGCTGAACATTTTATATCATAAAATAATGAATTATAACTGTTGTAAAAAAAATGCTAAAAAGATATATTAGCCAAACATAATAAGGAAGGAGAGGATTTTTACGGTGTGCATTGACAAAACCAAGGCATTATAACTTTTGCTAGGTTTATAAAATTGTTGCAGGTGACTTTATTACAGTTAAGCAACTAATATACAACTTAATATACAACAATATACAACCTTACACAGTTAACGTAATATAGTTTTCTGAAGTGAGAAATGAGGAAAATTCGGCTTTCAGAAGGCTTTATATTCGAAGCATAATACCGAGGATACTGATGACAATGAAACGAATGTCGCAACTGGAACAATAATCAAACAGTATTTCTTTACTGAATTACAAGTCCCTCGACATTTCTGATGGGCGAGAGGCAGCGTTGAGGTGAAAGAACGTGGCTTGTATTGCAATATTTCTTTTTATATGGCGATTTATGACTCAAAGATCGTAAACACTGGAACTGTGTTAAAATAGATATAAATAGAGGTGCTAACATTTTAAGGTTAATTAATTGTGTAAATTATAGATTATTCCAGAAAATATCGAAACATGAATGACATCTTAAACGTTACTGATATTGACAGTTATATCGCAAGGTAGATATTCACTGTCATTTCAAAAGTTATGCACCAATGCTACGTTTAACATGGCGATAAATCTATCAAATCTATCCTAACAAAAGCAAAACTGTAAATTGTAAATGTATATATATATATACATATATATATACGTATATACATATATAGATAGATAGATAGATATACATATAGATATAGATATATACGTATAGACATATATATATACATATATATATATATATAGAAATATATGTGTGATATATATATATATATATATATATACATATATATATATAATATATATATATTATATATATATATATATATATAATATATATTATATATTATTAAATAATATTATATATATATATATATATATAAATATATATTATATATTATACATG